GGCTCAGTGTACCCCCAGAGAAAAGCAGTCAATCGCTCCCGTCTCCCCGGTCTCCAGCTGCACTCCGTGCTCACTCGGCCTGTGACTGAGCGTTTCTATCTCTGGCACCCAACTTGGTGTGGAGTCTCCAAACCCAGCAGATCCCTGCGGTGCGCTCCCGCGCTGCTCCTCCCAGGGGAGGAAGGGGAGTCTCCCCGGATCTGCCACTTGTTGGGTCCCTGCTGGAGGAGCAGTGGCCTGACTGTGCCGCAGATCACAGTTTATGGCAACCCCGAGCTGAAAGCCCACACCTCAGCTCCGTCTCTGCAGTCGCCTTCTCTGCTCCGATACCTGGGAGCTCTGCCCACTCAGGCATCCCCGGTCTTTCTGTGACCCTGAGGGTCCTGAGACCACACTGTCCCGCGAGGTTTCCACCCCCCACTTAGCCACTGGAGCGACGTCGCTCAGCGGAGCCGACTTCTAAAATTTCCGATTTTTGCTCTGAGTCTCTATCACTTGCCAGAAGCAGCTGACGGAGGCCCCCTCCCTCCTCGTCTATCCTCCCAAATATCACCTCAGATTCACTTCTCTGCACGTCCTACCTTCCAGTAAGTGGTCGCTTTTCTGTTCAGAGAGTTGCTGCTATTCTTTCATGCCAGTCCTCTCTGGCCTGCCAAGTCTCTGTTGTCAGGTCTGTTGCCAGTCCTATGTTTCTACCCTTGTAGGTTAAAAACCTCTTGTCCCTAGCTGCTTTCAGGATTTTCTCTTTCTCTCTGAAATTTGCAAGCTTCACTATTATATGTTGAGGTGTTGACCTATTTTTATTGATTTTAAGGAGGGGTTCTCTGTGCCTCCTGGACTTGAATGTGTGTTTCCTTCTCCAGATTAGGGAAGTTCTCAGCTATAATTTGTTCAAATAAACCTTCTGCCCCTTCCCTCTTCATCTGGAACCCCTGTCATCCAGATATTATTTTACTTTATGGAACTGCTTTTTTCTCGAAGTCTCCCTTCATGACCTAGTAGTTGTCTTTTTCTCTTTTCAGCTTCTTTATTCTCCATCATTTTGTCTTCTATATCAGTGACACTCTCTTGTGCCTCATTTATCCTTGCTGGTAGAGCCTCCACTTTTTATTGCATCTCAGTAATAGCAGCCTGACTAGATTGTAGTTCATTAATTTCTTCAGTAGGGCATTCTCTAGTGTCTTTTATGCTTTTCTTCAAGCCCAGGTAGTATCTTTATAATCATTGTTTTAAATTCTAGTTCAGACATTTTACTTATATCCATATTCCTTTAATCCCTGCCAGTGAGTAATATCCCCTTCCGTGTTTAGTGGAGAATTTCTCCATCTTGTCATTATGCCAAGAAAAGGATAGAAGAAATAGAAGAAAGAGAGATAAGCAAAAATACCAACAAAAACAACAGAAAAAAAAACAAACCATAAGAAAACAAAAACAAAACAAGAAAAAAATCAAACCAGAAACAAAACAGACAAAGCAAAATACTAGATGTTGTGTGTATTTTGGTTTGTTTGTTAAAAGAAACCAGATCCCAAAATAGGAAAGAAAGACAAACTTATACATACGAAAATAAAGTAAAATTCAATGGGGGCGCCTGAGTGACTCAGTCGTTAAGTGTCTGCCTTCGGCTCAGGTCATGATCTCGGGGTCCTGGGATCGAGCCCCGCATCAGGGTCCCTCCTCAGCGGGAAGCCTGCTTCTCCCTTTCCCACTCCCCCTGCTTGTGTTCCCTCTCTCTCTGTGTCTCTCTGTCAAATAAATAAATAAAATCTTAAAAAAAAATAAAATTCAATGAATGGAAACCAAAAATAAAAATATATATACATAAGTATATATAAAAAATAAAAATTAGAAAAGAATAAGAGAAAAAAAGAAAATAGCTAAAAAAAAACCAAACAACTAAAGAATGATAACAAATCATGAATGCTATATACTGTTTCCTCCAAGAGCTGAAGTTTTGCAGTTCTCTATTGATCAGTAAACTTAGTGGTAGCCTGTTGTTCCTGCTGATCTTCTTGGGGTGGGGACTGTTGTGATGATTCACAGGTGCTCCTGCCCTTGTGGAATTTTGCCTCCCTTTTCAGGGGGCCTGGCTCCATATTATCTTATGTGGTGCTGTCTTGCTCTCTGAAGGCTTTCAGCACTGATGAGGGGGATGAAAATGGTGGCACCCCACTCTCTAGACCCAGAGATGAAAGTTCGCACCCCACTCTACAGTGAGCGCTGAAAGAAAAGCAATCACTTTTTTCTCCCTGGTTTTGCATCTGAACTCTGCGTTCACTCAGCTTGTGACTGAGCATTTTTATCTCAGTCATGTGACTGAGCTTCAAGTCTCCAAATTCTAGGGACTCCCATGGTGCGGACCCACGCCCTTACTCCTGGGGGAAGGTGGGGGTCTCACTACACTTCTGCCTTTTGCTGGACCCCTGCCCAGAGAGTGGTCATGAGACCATGAAGCAGTTCACCGTTTATGGCAACACCAAGCAGAAAGCTGGTGCCTAGACTTGCTGTTTTCAGCTGGCTTCCCTGCTCTGATGCCTGGGAACTCTGCCACACTCAGGCACCTCTGTTCTTATGACCCTGGGGATTCTAAGACAATCCTGTCTCACCTGGGATTCCACCCCGCTCCACCACCTGAGCACCTTTAAGCCAGGGACGTCCCCCACTGTAGTAGACTTCTAAAAGTTCTGATTTTGTGCTCTGCTGCTTATAATACTTTGTGGTAGCCCCCTCGATCCAGCTCCCTCCTGCTGCTGTATCCTCGCCCTGGTTTCAAGTCTCCACACCTCCTACATTCCAAAAAGTGGTTGCTTTTCCAGTTATAGAATTGCATCATTTCTTTTCTCAGATCTCCCATTGATTTGACAGGTATTCAGAATGATTTGATAACTATCTAACTGAATTCCAGGGACCAGACAGACTTAGGGTCCCCTAATCCTCCACCATCTTAACTCCTCTCTCTGCACACAGGATTCTTAGTGGATAGAGTATTTTATTCTGTAATGTCATGTTCTACCCTTTTAGTGTTTGGCTTTTTCAGTTTAGCATGTTTCAAGGTTTATGTGTATTGTAGTATGTATCAGTACTTTCTTCCTTTTTATGGCCTAAGTTATATTGTATTTTACAAATATATCATTTTATTTATCCATTCGTCTGTTGATGGACATTTAGGTTGTTTCCATCTTCTGGCTATTGTGAATATTGCAGTTATGACCTTTGTACTTGTTTTTGTTTGAACATTTTTTAAATTTGGGGGGCACAGGTACAGAAGTATAATTGCCACAAGTCAGGCCAAGTAGTTTCTTAGCTTATTAATTATGTATCAAGTGTCAATCATCTGATAGTTAAGCTAATTATACTGTTCTGGGATTTGGCAGGTTTTTTTTTTTTTAGTAGACTCTCCGCCCAATGTGGGGCTTGACCTCATGACCCTGAGATTAAGAGTTGCATGCTCTACCAACTGAGCCTGCCAGGTGCCCCTGGCAGTCAGTTCTTTAGAATACTGAAAGATTGTTAAAATAGCTAATGGTACTTGGAGATTGTGCTGTCTCCAATAAGAAAATAAATTTGTTTCTCCCCCATTGTAGTGTGAAGCTTCCCTGGTAAAAGGGCATGGTATATTATTTCTGCTGGGCTTCCAGGGACACCTTTAACGTGAAGAAAAAAAAAAAGTATCATGCACCTGGCAAGGAAAGACAAATATGGAGGCAGCTCGGAACAAGTGTTATGCCCCTCTTTTGGCATCAGACATCTCTCCCAGTAGATTCTTGAACCTGAGAAAAAAGAATCTTCTCTTTGGAGCTGCCAAGAGGATGATTTTGAAATAAAAATGAGTGGAACTACTGGTACAATGGACTAAAGGGATGATCCCAAGAAAGTTTCTTTGCCTTCCCATTTCATTGGTCTTAAAAATCTGATTTACTATTACTATTGTTTTGCAAAATTGCTTGGATTAGTAGTTATAAAGTATTTGTGTGAAAGCAAAGCTGTGAGAAGGGAAAAAAGAAAAATGCCCGCACTCTACAATGTGAATAAGAACTGATATGTAGGCATAATTTTGGATTGGGAATTCTAGTTTATTGAAAATAAATTTTATTTTGGGTGACAAATATTTGAAGAACAGTACTGTATACTTCTGAATATTAAGAACAAGTTTCTTCTAGCAACTTTTGAAAATATCCAAAACACGAGTCTTTGAGTGGCGCTCACAGCAATTAATTTTTAGTAAATGAATAATCATAAAAGATCATTTGCAGTATCAAAAGAAAACATGTTCATATTCCACTTTGACAAATCCACCTCTAGCATTTCTGAGTGCCTAACGTGTAGAGGGTCTGTTTCAGTTGCTTGGGATACATTATGAACAGAACATAAAAATTCCTGCCCTCAGTGGCTTTTTAAAATTAGCATAAAGACCCTTAGCAAGCAGTTAGACAGAAAATGGACTCTTCCAGGATCTCTAGTTGTGGCACCCATCTGTTGGAATAAAAGCCCATTACCTAGAAAGAGCCCTCAGGCAGGGAGAAGGGAGCATTCGTGGCTATAGCACAGACCATGGTCTCCAGCTGATAATGTATTATTATACAGAGAGGTATTCTGTGGGCCTACCCCAGCAAGGGGACAGCAGATAAAGCCTAAGTACCCAATCATGGGGCTTTATCACCTGGACTGCCAGTGACTCAGACTACCTGGGTGAATTTATTCATTCTAGTGGATAGATGATCTTGAACTTAATAGCAAACCCAATCATAATTCTAAAAGATTATATATAAAAAGGGGTATGAGGGAGAGGATTCAAATATGTTAAGAAACGGAGAAAAAATTTTAAGAATGAAAGATGGGGCACCTGGGCAGCTCAGTCATTAAGTGTCTGCCTTCAGCTCAGGTCATGATCTCAGGGTCCTGGGATCAAGCCCCGCATTAGGCTCCCTGTTCAGGGGGGGTCTACTTCTCCCTCTCCCATTCCCCCTGCTTGTGTTCCTTCTCTGGCTGTCTCTGTGTCAAATAAATAAAATCTTAAAAAAAAAAAGACTTCATAATATATCACCTATTATAAAAACAAACAGTAACCTCTTGATTATTTTCAGGGAATACAGCACTAACTAGTTATTATCTTCTTTTGTGCAGCTGCATCTTGGCAAGGGTATTGGCAGCTCTAGTGTGTGATGTTCCATTTCCAAAGTCCTAGGAGGTTATTCTCGTTTTCCTGATTGAAACAATCTTCAGTGAAAAATTCACTATCAGGCTAGAAAGATCGAATATTTTGGCTCATATGAGGTTTATGCTAGCCCTGATCCCAAAAGGAGGATATGTTGCTAACAGGATGTAGGGAATGGGTCATGAGCAGTCTTGTGCAATATCCTTACGAATGACAATTTAGTATATGAATACATTTAAAAATCAGTAGGAAAGGGGTGAATTATCAAATGGTATGTGGAATTGGATATTAATACATAAGAGAAAAAATGTAGATTCTTAGGTCAAATGACATCAAAGGAAGCACTGGATATATAGACTTACTTTGTATGCAGTTAAGATGGTGAATATTTTGCTCTGTCAGTATGATGATGGATCCAGGTAGCAATGCTGGCAATCAGGATAGTGAAGGCTTGCTCAGCAGCTTGATTCCAGTCACTATTATCATAGAATACTCACTTACCAAGGGCATCTAGTTTAAAAACTCAGATGTGCTTAGCAGCTGACTTTCCCCCCACAGTTCACAGCACCAAAGAGGAGTGCTTTTGTCAGCCAGCAGTTTTACTACCAGTGTGTCAAAAAGCTAGGCACAGTAAGAACCACAGTCAATTAAAATGCCGCAAGTTTCAAATGGAATATCTGCCAGTGTTGAGAACATCCTTGTGTCCTGCCCATTGAGAGGAGCAGCCCCATCAATTTTTGGGTCTGCATAATTGCACTGAGGTTGAATAGTCAGTGTCCAGTGATTCCCACTAGCCTGTCAGTGAATCAGGCCCAATTAGAGTGACTTCTATGAACTGGGGGCCCTACTGAGCCCTCAGCTTTGCTTCAGGCAGCAGAGTGGGGGATAAGTTTCCTCTGTAAGGGACAGCTGCTACAATCTGATATATAGCTAAGATATTGCTGGGACCAGGACAGCTGTATTCTTAAATATACCATGTGCATTTTACACCTGAGGCTTGTGTCCTTTGTATCTTGTTAGCCAGTGGAGCCCAAGAGTAAGCTAAGAGCTGCTTTACAAAAGGCATATACTTGGTAGCCTTGCTAGGGTATCAAGTCGAACCACCCTTCTCCCCCACCCCAAGGGCATCTCCTTTTGCCAGAAATTCCAATCAACAGAATGAATAGTTACAGAAACTGAAGCGCAAAGTGGTCATTAAGGGCTGTGGGACCTCAAAGGTATTTTCTTTACACATAACTCTTCCTGACTGGGAGAATCCCTTCTGAATTATTGGAAGGGGAAGTATAGCATGTAACACATTTCTACTACACTTTCAGGTTTAGAAGTAACCACAATATACTGCACTGGCCAAAAGAGCCCCATTTATTCACAGGGTCACATTCATTTCCCTTGCCTACTGTAACCCCTGCCCTAACAACATTTTCTTTATCTAGATACTCCCTACCTCCATGGAAAGTGATAAGATGTTGACTTGGGCACCTGTTTCCCATAAAGCCATAAAAGTTCCAGCCCCTTTCCTCCCTCAAAGTTCCCCAAAATACTTGGGTGGGTGCCAATGGCCATGGGTCCCCATTGGAGACAGGAAGATTTCTTTCCCCTGAAACAGCTGATGTTGGGGTATATGGAGGTACAACAAAGTGTGAAGGGAGAGTGACTTCATGACATTAAAGAAGCATTTGCTTTACTTGCACAAGGTGTGCTCACATTTCAACCAAAAATCTTCCTTTTAGGTTCATCAAAAGCCCTGGAACAGGTGGTATCATCTATTTCAGTACATTGAATGATTTTTTTAAAATGAATTCTCTGATGATCTTTGAGGAATTCCTCACAACACCAACTCTTTAATAAATGCTATACCCACTGACTGATGTAAGCTTGGCTTACATAATAGCTTTCTACCTCCCGAGTAGAGGGATGGCTAAATTACGTTCCAAAGGAAACAGACCTAAACATGCGAGAGCTCAATAGAATACAAGATCACTGCTTGATCACAAAATGTTCAAAAGGTAAAGATGTGAATGAGAATTTTGTTCCACATATTTCAGGCACCCTGGCTTTTACCTTGTAAAAGCTGTGCCATGTTAAAGCATGATACTCAAGGTTGTCCTGGATCATCTCCATTTTATCATGACAGCATCCTAGTAGTTTGTCAGCGAGGTGTTTTGTCACAAATGGGTGTGGCATAAAATATAAGCATCCACAGTCCCAAAGACCTACTTGGAGGAAAGGGAGACCAGGAAATTTTGCGTGAGTTATCTAAAGGGCATGGCTTCATTCAAAAGGGCTTTCCATAGTACCTTGAAAGAAATACTAGCTCGTGTATTCTCTGATATACTTTCAGGGTTGCTTTTTGGATAAAATTCTTCCTACATTCATATTTATATGGTTTTTCTCCTGTGTGGGTTTACTGCAGTCAAATGGCATGGTTTTTCAGCCATAAGGATTTTCCATAGTTATTATATCAATAGGGTTTTCCCCCTCCCTGAATTCTCTGGCAAACATTTAGAGTTGACTTCTTATACAATTTCCCAAATTCATTACATTCATAAGATTTCTCCCCACTGTGAATTCTCTGATGTATTCTGAGGTTTGATTTCTGGCCAAAAGTTTTCCCACATTTGTTACACTGAAAAGGTTTCTCCCCTGTATGAATTCTCAGATGATCACTGAGGATTGCCTTCCGGACAAATTTTTTCCCACATTCATTACATTTAAATGGTTTCTCCCCAGTATGAATCCTCTGATGCACTCTAAGGGTTGATGTCCGGGCAAAAGTTTTCTCACACTCACTACATTTAAATGGTTTCTCTCCTGTGTGTGTTTTCTGATGTTGAATGAGATGGTCTTTTCGCCAAAAGGATTTTTCACATTCGTTACATTGATACGTTTTCTCACCACTGTGAGTTCTCTGATGTATCCTGAGGTTTGACTTCTGACCAAAAGTTTTCCCACATTCTTTACACTGAAAGGATTTCTCCCCTGTGTGAATTCTATGATGATCTCTGAGGGTTGACTTTTGAACAAAAGTTTTTCCACATTCACTACATTTATAGGGTTTCTCTCCTGTATGAATTCTCTGATGTCCCCTGAGGGTTGACTTCTGGACAAATGTTTTCCCACATTCATTACACTTATAGGGTTTCTCTGCTGTGTGAATTCTCCAATGTGTACTGAGGTGTGACTTCTGGGAGAAAGTTTTTCCACATTCATCACATTCAAATGGTTTCTCTCCAGTGTGAGTTCTCTGATGCTGAATGAGATGTCCTTTTTGAAAGAAGGATTTACCACATTCATTACATTTATACGGTTTTATCTCAGAGTGAGTTCTCTGGCGTACTTTGTGGGCTGACATCTGGTAGGATTTCCTATTTTCATGATATTCAAAGGACTTATCCCCAGTTCGTGTTCTATCATATACCATTGGGTTCTCTTCCGTGACAATTCTCGGAAGTTGAGTGAGGTGTGACTTCCTGTTGAAATTACTTCCACTTGCATGACATTCATTCTGTTTCACAGGCATGTTAAACTTACTGTATTCCTTGACAGCTGATTTCCCGCAGAAAGATTTCCCACATTGGTTAAGAGGAGAGTGTTTCTCCCCTACCCCAGTTCTTTTATAGTCAAAGACAGTTGTTTTTTCACTTTTTCCCCTAAATTCATCATCTTTACAGGATTTTTCTGTGTGAATACTCTTACATGTAACACAAGCAGCCTCACCATAGAAGGCTTTTCCAATTTCATATTTAAAAGCTTGCTCCAAAGTTTGACACTTTTGATTCTTAGGAAGATTTTCCTTATAACTGAGAGCTTTCCCACTTTTATTATATTCATGAAACTCCTCTCCAGTATGAGTTCTCTCAAAATTAATTTTGAAAGACAAATTTTCACATACACTATAGCAATTTGGTTTTTTTGTTGGATAGGTTCTATTATTAACAAGCTGGGAAATATTTTGCAAATTTACTCCCCATGAGTCATATTTACAGGATATTTTTGTTGAAACAGGAGCTATGTGCAGATTAAACTGTTTTCCCAAAACTTCTTCCTCTCCAGTCAATGGTTTATTATCGATGAATATTATTTCCTGCAAGTGTTTATCTTGGATTTTCTTTTTCCTCCTCATCAGGTCATCATCTCTGTAATCTTCTAAAACAGAGATAAATTGAAAACATCTTATGAACCTTACATTTCTTATGGATGGGAAATATATAGCCTATATTGCATTCATTTTTTGGTTTTCCAAGATTAAATAATTTATGTATGTATCCTCACCCTCCTTTAAAAACAGCATTGATATAATGAAAATGAGAGAGGAAACTGGTAATAAATACATATCTGTATTTGGATTGTGATCAATTGCATTTTCCTACGGGGGTGGAGAAAGAATAGAAATGAGACTTTTATAGGAGTGTTTAGTTTAACTCCTAACACTAGAGGAGTTATTTCAGGGAACAGGAAAACCAGATAATGGGATGAACACAACGGGACTACATAAACTTAAGTACAGGAACAAAAGAATTAGGAGATAATGAACACTGATGGACTACGCCCAACAGGGGAAGAGGTTGGCTTTGAGGAAATATAGTCCTACACTATCTAGGCTACACTGATAGAATCCTCAAGAGTCCACTATTTCCAAGCTGATATTCCTTATTTCCATTCAATTCTTCAATATCAAATCAAAATTGATAGTACAACTTTCCTCATGCTTAAATGAGGAAGTTTACAGCTTAGGATCTAACCCATCTTATAGCTGTAAGTCACAGAAATATAAACAAATGTAAAACTGAAAAAAGAAAAATCTATTCTTGCAACTAAATTAGATTCACTGCTTAATTCCTGCTGTGGTACCTTTATTTTATCAAAATTGAACAGTAAGTGACCCTAAATTTCCACATTTCAATTTGATATGTACAAAAACAAACAATACTGCCATAAGTAAATATTGTTTTATTTAATCATGCCTTTCTGTAGGGTATGTAGTTAGGAAAGGAATTCCTTGGTTGAAAATGATGTAAAACTTTAACCTGACTTGGAAACATCCTCCTGATTATACAGTGGTTTTACCAGCTTACATTTTCCATCAGTACGTAAGATTCTTTAATATTTCACATCCTCATCGAGACTTGGCTTTGCCAAATTTGTTAATGTCACATCATACCATGTGTCTCTCATCTCACTTTGTATTTTATTTTGCATTCCGTGAAAGCTAATGAGAGACTGAACACATTTTCAAAGATTTAATGGCCATTTAAAAGTTCCTGTTCAGTCTTTTGCTTATTTTTCAATTGGGTTGCCACCTTTTCCTACGTTGACTAGTGGAAGTTTTTACATTTTCAGAGTACTTATCCTTTCTAGATTACTTGTACTATATACATATTCTGCTTCTCTATGGCTTGTCTTCTCATCCTTTTAACAGTATATTTTATAAACAAAGTTCTCAATTTTAATGTAGTCAAGTTTATTAATCATTTTCTATTGATTGGTGCTTTTTTTGCCTTTGAGCTTAAAAGGAGTCTTGAAATACAAAGGTGTTTAATGCCAAACTGACCTTCTGGAGTCTTAAATATCCCAAGAGAATTCTGTCTGCTAGTGCTCAGGAACTCACCTCGGTGGCTCTGGTTTGAGAATTCTTCCTCTAAGAACCAAGGCTCCTCTCCTTGCTCCAACTTGAAGATTACTGCTGGTTTGAAAATGCAGTTCCCTGTAAACAGGGAACAATGGAGTATTCAGGACAGATGATGAGCTTTTTAGTTTCTAAAGTGTAAAAAGATACAGCTTCAGAAGCAGCACCCTGAAAATCCTGATTTGAACTTATCATGGGGAGTTGACAAAACACTTCTTTTATTCCTCAAAAGGGCTTAGTTAATTTTATACTCCTGAATGAAATACCTCAATAACATTAAAACCTAAATAAAATATTCATCTGTATCAGTGCATAAAAAGGAAATGCCTTCTATGTGCTGTGATGAGGGTAAGTTATACCTATATGCTCACCCACTGAGACTAGGTTGTTGTAGTTCTCCAGCATCACATCTCTATACAGGGTCCTCTGAATAGGACCCATTTGCTGCCACTCCTCTTGGGTGAATTCCACAGTCACGTCCTTGAATGACACTGATGCCTGCAACAGACATTTCTGCTCAATCTGAAGGGTTCAAAATTAGGTGACATAGAAAATACCCCTAAAAACAATTCTTATGTTTACTGTAAAGAACTGAAAACAAATGTATACAAAGGATGCATATTTTGAATCTAACTTTAACTTATATTTTGGAGGTATTCAATGAGTAAAAATATTTATAACTTTATTTTTATATACTTATGAGTTCCATGCACATATTTTAAGTATATTAAACTTTGTTTAAAAAAATTTTTTAAGCAAAAATGATAAATTTCTTACAATTTTTATCCAATACCCCAATATACTACCCTAGGCATATTCTAGGGTAGGAGTCAGCAAATTATTACCTGTGGCCAAATCTAGCTTGACACTTTTTTAATAAATAAAAGTTTTCCTGCAACATAATCACAAATACCCAATCATTCTGTATTGTTCATTGTAGGTTTCGTGCTGTAACAGCATAGCCTAGTAATTCTATCAGACCTTATGACTATCAAAACTGAAAACATTTACTATCTGATCCATTACAGACAAAATTTGCCAACTTTTGGACTAACCAATCAATTAAAAGAAAGACTAACAGCATAAAAACAACAAAGAAAACACAATTAACAGAGAGGGATATATGTAGATTGAAAATAACAGGACAGAAAAAAATATACATAATTATGAGCCAAAAGAAAGTTGGTTATATTAACATAAAAACAATCAAGGTAAGAAAGTATGACAAAACACAGTAACTATTTATGATCCTTTTAACAGAAAATATAAAAAACATAAATTTGTGTGCATTTGAAAACCTAGCTTGCAAATACAGTCAATTCTTATTATTCACAGATTCTATATCTGCAAATTCACCTCACTAAAATATACTTCTAACCTAAATACTCATGATTTTGGGGCGCCTGGGTGGCTCAGTCGTTAGGCGTCTGTCTGCCTTCGGCTCAGGTCATGATCCTGGGGTCCTGGGATCAAGTCCCACATCAGGCTCACTGCTCTGCGGGAAGCCTGCTTCTCCCTCTCCCACTCCCCCTGCTTGTGTTCCCTCTCTCGCTGTCTCTGTCAAATAAATAAATAAAATCTTTAAAAAAAAATACTCATGATTTTGCAGTATTTAAGGACACTCGCAGAAAGGTACAAAATTTGAGCATCCAACACATTTTTCCAGCTGGAGCTGAAAAAGATAATGCTTTGCCAAATGTTCTTTTTGCAGACTACTTAGTACATTCTTTGCATTTTTGTGATTTTTCTTGTGTTCCCCTACCTGTGTAATGAGAAATGCTGTCTAGTGTTCTTGAGTGCAAGAAGGCTGTGATATGCCTTAGGGAGACCAAGTGTGTTAGATAAACTTTAAGCATTAATTATGGTGCAACAAATAACTTGAGGCCATGGGCTGTTAGTTCTTGTTCATGAAACAATGTACTAAAGTATTTTTAAACAGAAACACACATAAAACCAGGTTGTGTATTGAATGGTTGACCAAAATGTTTTGACTAGAAACTCAAAGGGACTTAACATTGTATTTCCCCTAGGAGCAATGAGTATTTGTTAATTTAATGTTCATGGTGATTTTATAGAAAATAACCATGTGAATAGTGAGAGTCAACTATATATAACAAAAGCTGATAAAATGAGATAGATGGATCCATAATTATAATTAGTTTTATAATATTTTAACACAACTCTCAACTCAGGGCAAGCTGACTGAAAAAAAAAAAACAACAGAGATTTAGAAAGGGGTCAGCAACAGTCAAGAGGGAAAATCTGGCCTGCTGTTTTTGTTTTGTTTTGTAAGTAAGATTTTATTGGAACATAGTCACGTTCATTTGTTTATGTATTATCCATGGCTGCTACAGCACTACAACTGTAGAGTTCAGTATTTCCAAAGAGACCATATCTCCCACAAAGCCTACTACCTCACATTTACAGATGAAGTCTGCTGACCACTGATATAGAAGGTTTAAATGACATAAATAACCAATTTGAGTAACTGAAACATATCAGATAACATAATCATAACAAATTATTTTCTAGTGCATTTTGCATATTAAAAATATGTCTCATCAAATTAAGTCATCAAATTAGAAAAGATTACAAACATACAGTGTGACTTTGGATTTTAGTGTAGAGAGTTGAAAAGAGCAATACTAACATCCTTACAACAAGAACAAAGCTAGACAGATTGAAAATTAGGTCTTTTTTTTTTTAATTCATCAGAGAAATGAAACTGCTTAACAAATAAACAATTTGAAATCAGGAAAAAGGTAGGCATCTGTAGGGAGAATCAGGACCCACCTGTTTGCTTCCTGGACCATATGCTACCAAACTTCATGTAAGATGACAGAAAGATAAAACTAGAAAAATTTTAACAACCTGCTAAAGGCCACATGTGCACAAATGTTAGAGTGTGAAGTCCCTGAGGAGGTGGTGTATGTCACAGATATAGTGAGATTTCTACCTTTTTGTGACATTTTCTCCAGGAACCTAGTCTGTTCACAGAAAGGACTGGGGGAGAATTTTGGGAAAGTCCCTTCCTGCCCCATGAGGTACTGGCTAGTGTAGGGGAAGAAAAGTCACCACTTAAATCACTCAGATCTGTATCACTTATTTCGGGAAAGGTCAATAAAATAACTTGAGGCCATGGGCGGCATCCCTTGCAGTAAGGGGACAGCAGTAGCAGACATTACCAAGATGCTACCCAGACCCATCTGCCCAATCTCTCCTAGGGAATAAAATACCTAAATGACGAGATGCAAGTTCTTAGTGCCTAAAACTGAGGTTAAACTGGAAGATAAGTCCCAGAGATCTGTCATTATTTGACCTGTCTGGTAGCTCCATGGAACATCCCATTCATAAAACGGTCTTCATTTGATCTAACTCAAAGCTCACCGACTGCAAACAGCATTTTCTCTGGGGGCATGACATTAGTTAAGAAAGAAAAAACCCATGGGATACTCTTTACCACCATGGCTACCTCAGGCAGTTTGTAATAATTAAAGGAAACAGTGTAATTAAAAAGCTTAAAAGGAAAAGTTGGAGCATGATATATACAGAAGGGGCTGTGAAAAGCTCAGACTTCTCTCTGGGAATCTAGAAGGTAGCACACATGCCCTGGACTATGTGCATATTCAGGAAACATCTGAGAAAGTACTAAACTTGGCTCTCATTAACCCTGAGGCTCTGTGAAAGAAAAGTGAAGGTGAATGCAAGGTAGTAAAATGCCAGGCTAACTGCTGAACTGTGGGACACAATCAAACATCCAACCTATACATAGAGCATCTTGGCAAAGATTGGAGCCTTACTGGTTATGAGTACTTAAGGAAATCATTGTCCAATTATTAGCTGACTATTTAGCTAATGGAGTGGAGACTTCAGTGGTCACACATGACAAAGAATATAGGTTGTACAGAATCCGTTCAAAAGAGTCACTAAACAAATGACAGCTGTGGTGGAGTGGTATTCTGATGATAAACTGACACGTTTTATTTTAAATATCAAGTTTTTAACAAAAATTTAAGACCTACAAATAAATAAAAAAGTATGGCTCATACACAGCAAAAACAAACAAACCCAATACTATGTATGAAACCGTGTAGAAACGGTCTCTGAAAAAGTCCAGACATTGGACTTACTAGACAAAGACTTTTTTTTAAAAAGGATTTTATCTATTTGAAAGAGAGAGCACGAATGGAGGCGGGGAGAGGGAGAAGGAGAAGCAGACTCGTGACTGAGCAGGGAACCTGATGTGGGGCTCCATTCCAGGACCCTGGGATCATGATCTGAGCTGAAGGCAGACACTTAATGAACTGAGCCACCTGGGCACCCCTAGACAAAGACTTTCAATAAACTGTTCTAAATACATACAAATAACTAAAGAAAACCATATCTAAAGAAGCAAAATAAAGTACGGGAACACATTCTCACTGAATAAAGAATTAGAAATAATACATATTTGATGAAAAAGTAAACTGAAATTCTGAAATTTGAAAATTTGAAATTTGAAATATGAAAGTACAATAATTGAAGTGAAACATTCCTTAGAGGTCTCAATAGCAGATCTAAACATGCAGGAGAATCACCCAATTTTGAATACAGACCTAGTGAGATGATACAATCTGAGGACAGAAAGTAAAAATAGGAAAAATGAACAAAAAGCCTCAGTGACCTGTGGGATAAAATCAAACATCTAAATATAGCAACATCCAAAGGAGAGGAGTAGTAGGAGGAGAGAGAAGGGGCAGAAAAACAGAATGATTCTTGAAGCAGCAAAAGGGAAGTGACTTATCACTTTTTTTTTTCCGTATTTTAAATGTGCCTTTGAGTCTTTATTTTTTAAATTTTTATTGTTATGTTAATCACCATACATTACATCATTAGTTTTTGATGTAGTGTTCCATGATTCATTGTTTGTGCATAATACCCAGTGCTCCACACAGAATGTGCCCTCTTTAATACCCATCACCAGGCTAACCCATCCCCCCACCCTGACTTATCACTTCTAAAGGCTCCCAAATAAAGCTAACAGTCAATTTGTCCTCAGGAACCAGGGAGATCAGAATGCAGTGGTATGACTTATTTAAAATGCTAAAAGGAAGGCCTGTCAATCAAGACTTCAACATTCACGGCAAAGAAGAAGTCAAACTCTCACTCTTTGCAGATGATATGATATTTTATGCGGTAAACCCAAAAGACTCCACCCCAAAACTGCTAGAACTCATAGAGGAATTCAGTAAAGTGGCAGGATATAAAATCAATGCACAGAAATCAGTGGCATTTCTATACACCAACAAGACAGAAGAGAGAGAAATTAAGGAGTCGATCCCATTTACAATTGCACCCAAAACCATAAGCTACCTAGGAATAAATCTAACCAAAGAGGCAAAGGATCTGTACTCCAGAAAACTATAAAATACTCAGGAAAGAAATTGAGGAAGACACAAAGAAATGGAAAAACGTTCCATGCTCATGGATTGGAAGAACAAATATTGTGAAAATGTCTATGCTACTTAGAGCAATCTACACATTTAATGCAACCCCTAATCAAAATACCATCCACTTTTTTCAAAGAAATGGAACAAATAATCCTAAAATTTGTATGGAACCAGAGAAGACCCCAAATAGCCAGAGGAAGGTTGAAAAAGAAAAGCAAAGCCGGTGGCATCACAATTCCGGATATCAAGCTCTCTTACAAAGCTGTAATCATCAAGACAGTCTGGTACTGGAACAAAAACAGACACATAGATCAATGGAACAGAATCGAGAGCCCAGAAATCAACTCCATGGTCAACTAATCTCGACAAAGCAGGAAAGAATGTCCAATGGAAAAAAGACAGTCTCTTCAACAAATGGTGTTGGGAATCGGACAGCCACATGCAGAAGAATGAAACTGGACCATTTCCTTACACCACACAGAAAAATAGACTCAAAATGGTTGAAAGAACTCAATGTGAGACAGGAGTCGGCCCATCAAAATCCTAAAGAAGAACACAGGCAGCAACCTCTTCGACCTCAGCCACAGCAACTTCTCCCTAGAAACATCGCCAAAGGCAAGGGAAGCAAGGGCAAAAATGAACTATTAGGACTTCATCAAGATAAAAAGCTGCTGCATAGCAAAGGAAACAGTAACAAAACCAAAAGACAACCCACAGAATGGGAGAAGAATTTGCAAATGACATATCAGATAATGGGCCAGTACCCAAAATCTATAAAGAACTTCTCAAACTCAACACCCGGAGGACAAATAATCCAATCAAGAAATGGGCAGAAGACATGAACAGACATTTCTGCAAAGAAGACATCCAAATGGCCAACAGACACATGAAAAAGTGCTCAACATCGCTCGGCATCAGGGAAATCCAAATCAAAACCTCAATGAGATACCACCTCACACCAGTCAGAATGGCTAAAATTAACAAGTCAGGAAATGAAAGATGTTGGCGAGGATGCAGAGAAAGCAGAACCCTCCTACACTGTTGGTGGGAAAGCAAACTGGTGCAGCCACTCTGGAAAACAGTATGGAGGTTCCTCAAAAAGTTGAAAATAGAGCTACCCTACGACCCAGCAATTGCACTACTGGGTATTTACCCCAAAGATACAAATGTAGTGATCCAAAGGGGCACCTGCACCCCAATGTTTATAGCAGCAATGTCCATAATAGCCAAACTATGGAAAGAGCTTGGATGTCAATCAACAGATGAATGGATAAAGATGTGGTATATATACACAATGGAATATTATGCCGCCATCAAAAAAATGAAATCTTGCCATCTGCAACAATGTGGATGGAACTAGAGGATATTATGCTAAGCGAAATAAGTCAGAGAAAGACAAGTATCATATGATTTCACTGATATGAGGAATCTGAGAAACAAGACACAGGATCATAGGGGAAGGGAGGGGAAAAATTAAACAAGACAAAACCAGAGAGGGAGACAAACCATAAGAGACTCTTAATCTCAGGAAACAAACTGAGGGTTGCTGGAGTGGAGTGGGATGGCTGGGTGACGGACATTGGGGAGGGTATGTACTATGGTGAGCGCTGTGAATTGTGTAAGACTGATGAATCACGGACCTGTACCCCTGAAACAAATAATACATTATATGTTAATAAAAAAAAATTAAAAAAAAAAATCAGAGCACCAATAAAGTAAAAAAAAAAAAAATAGTAGGAAGGTGTAATGTCTCCAAAGCCTGAATGTTATTCTGAGGAACTGGGAATTTTATCATGTGGGGTGAGGAGCCACAGAGGTGATTTACACATGGACAAGACATTACTTCACTAGCATTTAGATGAACTACCCGTGTGGAAGATGTGCTTGAGTAGGGTGAAGAAAGAAGTGGTCAGGTTGGTAAAGAAGCTATTCCAACAGTTCAGGTGTGAAACCATGAGATAGTCGTAGGAGGAATAAAGTAGAGGAATACATTTAAAATACATTAGGTTTAGGGGCGCCTGGGTGGTTCAGCTGTTGGGTGTCTGCTTTCGGCTCAGGTCATGATCCCGGGGTCCTGGGATTGAGCCCTGCATCAGGCTCCCTGCTCGCCAGGAAGCCTGTTTCTCCCTCTCGCACTCCCCCTGCTTGTGTTCCCTCTCTCGCTGTGTCTCTCCCTGTTACATAAATTAAAAAATCAATCAATCATCAATCAATCAATAAATAAAATAAAATACATTATGTTTGACCATATAAAATTGCTGTTATCTTTGACAAATGGGAAAAGTGGCAAGACATGATTACACACCAGATGTGTCAGGAGTTGAGACAGTGAGAACAAGAGAAGCCAGGGATGTGCAGTAGCACTTTTGTGGCTTGGGTGTCTGGCTGGGACTGGGGACGTAACATCTAATATGGAAAGATGAGGGAAATTCGTTTGGGAAGAACTGTAAATGGGATTATAAATGTTAACTTTTACTTTGCATCAGTTCAGCTGGAGATGCCTTGTAGATACCTACACAGAGATGTTGAGTCAACTATGTCCAACATGGCAGTCACTAGCCATGTGTAACTATTTAAAACTTAAATTAAAAATTCAGTTCCTCAGTCACACTAGCCATATTTCAAGTGCTCAACAGGCATATGCAGGTAGTGGCCATCATTTGGGACAATGCAGATACAGAAGGTTTACATCATCATAAAAAGTGCTATTGGTGGGGCACCTGGGTGGCTCAGTTGGCTAAGTGTCCAACTCTTGATTTCGGCTCAGGTCATGATCTTGGAGTCGTGAGATCAAGCCCTGCGTAAGGCTGCACACTCAGCTGGGAGTCTCTCCCTCTCATTCTACCCCTCTCCCTGCTCGCATGCTCTCTCTCTCTCAAAAAATACATAAGATAAAATAAAATAAATAAAAATGTTAAAAAAGTGCTATTGGTCACAGTGGGCCGCAGAGCCGCATTTATGGGAACTAGGAAAAACACTGTTCTTGAAACTAGAGTGGGGATGAAATGAGTCAAGGAGACCAGCTAGAAAAATAGTTAGAAGGACTGGAAACCTGTGATGAGACATGTCAAAGGGCAAAAGAAAGATGACTCCATGAAAAAAACAGGCCGTCAGAGACACTAACACAGGAGACCTTCCAGAAGGACTGAGTAGGCGCAGAACAGGCATTGCAGACAGGTCTGTGAGGTAAGGATGAGGCAAGGACCCACTGGATTTGACTGTAGTTAGGTCACTGGTGGGTGCAGGTCACAGGTATATGAGTAGAGACACCAAGGCCTCATGCAGTAGATTGAGATGTGAATGGAAAGTGCGGTAGCATTTGCTAGAGAACAGAACTTTAAGCTCTCTCCTGAACAACTTGTTCAAGACAGGTACCTGAGAGAAATATTTACATAAAGCTATTTTTAGGACATGAACGTACCAGTTATTCATGCTGACCTCCAGTTAGTCTAAGTATTATCTCTGGATCTAGCAGAATGGTCAGAAAAAGGTCTGCTTCTTCTGTTTTATTTAGATGGACAACTGTATTAACAAAAGCCCTGCTTTGGCAATGTGCCCCTTACTCCCACTGAGGAAAAAGTGGAAACAACATTCTACAATTATTTCCGGGTTGTTATTGGAAAGATCTGCACTATCACCTACCTGAAAACCAACAAAGACATTTTCCCTGACTTCAGTGACTTTAGATTTCAGAGGAAGGTTTGATTTAAGATTCTCATCAATGCAAATCTTGAAACAAATATTGTCTGACTCTCTGCCATGGCAATCAGAAAGGTCAGGAAGAAAACTGCTACTTGCACTTCGGAAAATGTGTAACTTCATAGGACCGCATCTACCCACATGCCAGCTGTGCTGTACTACTCATCTGCTTTTCTCTACCTTCCTTCAATGGTTCTGATCCATTTCCATTCCCACTTTTCTATGTTCACTACCTACCTATAAAATCCATTATAAAAAAAGTTGTATATAAATAACTCACCTGAGATGTGTTCATTTTCTGCTGTTGTTGGGAGAGTACAGAGAACTGTGATGGATAAGCTGGGGATAAGGAAAGAGGAGTGGAATTACAAGAGGTCTGGTGAGCTTCCGCCAGTTGCCTAAAAATCTCACCACATCAGCTGGGGGAAAGGCCTCCCTATGGAAAAATGTTCTATTGACCCTTGAGAAGGGGCAGGAAGCACCACATAGAGACAGCACTCCCGATATATGTAATACATCTCTGATATGATCACGTGAATGTAACCCTGCTATTTTTCACCAGTGACTTAAATTATTTCCTATTAATTTTAAAAATGTATGTCCCCCTCTGACTAATTAACAAAAAATTAAAACAGAGGATAATATTAATATCCTATTATTTCTACTTTGAGTTAGAAAATCAACAGAAAACTCTGGGGGAAAAAAAGATGTTTAGTGCTGAAATATTTTAAAATCATTTTGCTCTTTTGGTAAGACTTTTGATGAGACACTTCTAGTGACTTATGTGTGACAGAATGAACTGCACTGTGCTTTGCTCCTTGCTCTGTCCTGGATGACCAGGGGATATACATCTCAGGCTCCATTTTTTTTTAAAGTTTCAAAAGAGTCAGAGATAGAAATCCCCTCCAATACTGTCATTTTATAATTCTATATGTTCAGGATAAAGGAAGCCTCAGCATATCTCTAGATGCCACTTGTGATGGACACAATGTGAGAGTGGCTCAGAATCTGTAAAGAGGGAAAAATGAAGAAAACGGGGACTGTTTAAGGACTGAGACTGAATTTCCTTAGCTCTGGCAGTGGCTTTTCCTGTATGGCCTGATAGTCACCCATCTCTTTCAACCCCAGCTCACCACCTTCTGTAAGCTGGTCCACTTTCCACTGTCACACAGTCTGTGATAGCTTCTGGATGTGGTGACATCACCAAGTCTGGCTCTTTCTGGACAAGGTAATTAAGAACTGCTTCTGGTGGAGCAAATTAGGACCCACTCCTTTCTGGGTTCTTAGGACCCACTCCTTTCTGGGTTCTTCTGCATATTCTGAAGCTCTGGTGAGGGTGGTTCCTGTTAGATGAGCTCTTCTTCCAGGTGGGACTCCTGTCCCCAGGGCTCCTCTCCTCCCTGTCACACAAGAGCTACTTTGTTCCAGACGTTGAGACTTAGGCCTAGGAAACAAATTCCTCTTAGTTGAACCTTTCATCGAGAGCAAAGTTTCTCAACTTCAGCAATGCTGACATTTTGGGCTACATAATTCTTTGTCACATGGGGGCTGTCCTGTGCATTGTAGGATGTCTAGCAGCATTTCTGGCCTCTACCCACCAGACACTAGTAGCACTCCTCCTCTGTTGTGAGAACCCAAATCATCTCCAGCCATTTCCAAAAGTCCTCTGGAGAGCAAAATTATCCTGGTTTGGAACCACTGGTGTAGGGCCTTAAACCTGATTCTCTTCAAATTCATTAGAACTGCTCACCCATTATTGTAGCCACTAGCCACATCCCACTATTGAGCATTTGAAATGTGGCTACCGCACATTGAATAGTTTTGTATATACTAAGATAAAGAATATGTTAAAACTAACTTCATGTGTTTTCATTTTTAATGTGGCTACTAGAACATTTAAAATTACATATGTGGTTCACCTTATCTATTAGACAGCACTGCACTACAACATCAGACTGTGCCTTCAGAAGACAGAAGACAGTCTGGACAGTACAGGAGGTGCCAGGAGGCTCAGTCTTATCCAGTTCTGGAGACATGCCAGAAACCCTGGAATAGATACACCTATCACAGAGTGACATTTGGCTCCTGTTGACTTTACAATCATAGTCCTGAGAATATGGGGGGTGGGGGCAAGTCACTCTACTAGTGCTGCGAAGGCTGCAATGCTGGGTTTGTATAGCTGAATTTGGAAGTAAAGCATATCTGTTTACATCCTGGCTGCCTCACCTTTTTGACCTTCAGTCTGTAATTTCACTCTTCTGAGCCCATTTTCTTTTTCTTTTCTTTACCTCTTTCTTTCTAAAATTATATGGTTAATACTATGGGAAAACAGATGTCCATCAACAGATGAATGGATAAAGAAAATGTGGTGTACACACACACACACACACACACACACACACACACACACACACTGGACTATTACTCAGCCATCAAAAAGAATGAAATCTTGCCATTTGCAGTGACATGGATGGAACTAGAGGGTATTATGCTAAGAGAAATAAGTCAGAGAAAGACAATTATCATATGATTTCACTCATATGTAGAATTTAAGAAACAAAACAGGATCATAGGGGAAGGGAGGGAAAAATAAAATAAGAGGAAATCAGAAAGGGAGACAAACCATAAGAGACTCTTAACTATAGGAAACAAACTGAGGGTTGCTAGAGTGGAGGTGGGTGAGGGGATGGGGTAACTGGGTGGTGGACATTAAGGGGGGGCATGTGATGTAATGAGCAATGGATGTTATATACAATTGATGAATCACTAAACTCTACCTCTGAAATTAACAATACACTATATATTAATTGAATTAAAATAAAATTATATGGTTATACCTATAAATAGGGTGGCTGTAAAGATTAAGTTAAATACTAAATAAAAAAGAACAAAGTGTCTTCCAATATGATGGAAGCCAACACTGCATGTTGGCTTATACCTTGTACCTATTAGTGCTTACTCACTAGCATTTGGCTGAATGCTTTATAGATGATGACTTATCTCTTTCTGAACAATGCCACAAAGCAGTTTTTACTAATATCCTTATTTTCAGATGAGAACCTGACTTATGCCCAAGTGACAAAGGAGGAATTTACCCGATCTTTCTGGCTTTTAAGCTCAAGGCCGGGGCGCGCTCTATGCCAGCTTCACGGTCAATATCCAATAACCTAAACAGGCATTACCTTCCCGCCGCCAGCAAGGGATCTTCCCAGCGCCGGCTGCGGTCAGCTCCCGCACTCCAGTCTACAGGGAACATCTTCCTAAAGCACTCGCCCCATCTGGGTCCCCGGAGCCCGCCGGGCTGGGCCCGCCCCCAACCGCCTTTGCCAGGTGTAGGTTCTCGCCTGGCTCCGGAATAAGCGGCGGGGTTCCCGCCCTGCGTAGAGCGGGGAGTTCCCGAGACGTCTGGGTCCCTTCCTCAGGCCACAACCCCACCCCGCCCCCGCCAGGCGCACGGAGGCCCAGAAACCCCCGCCCCGCTCCTCTCACCTGAGGGCAAACGGGCCTCCCCCGCACGGCCGGAGAGGGCGGAAGCAGGAAAGTAGGGTTGACTGCACATGCGCAGGGAAAAGTCCAGGATATCCGTTCCCAGAAGGCCGCGCGGGGAGCCGTGGCCTTCAGGACTACATTTCCCATGAAAAGAGCGCGACTCCTCGCGGCTTTCGGGTGTGTTGGATGCTGGCGTGCGGCGGGGAGGCCGGGGATAAAGAGGGCATAATGAGATTAACTCCCTGTATTGATATCTGGAGCCCAGATCCTACCAAAACCCCCGAGGTTATGGGTTAAACTTTGACATAAGATGAAGTACAAGACATTTGGGAACAACTGGGGAAATTTGTATATGGATTGGATGTTAGAAATATTAAGGGAATTTATTGTTATTTTTGTTAATTGTGATAATGACATTCGGATTATGAAGAGAAGTTTACTTTTTTTAGAGATGTATATTAAAATACTTAACATTATATTACATATTTGTAATTGAAAAAATAACTAGAAAAAGCAAATATGGCAACATGTTAAGGATTTCTACCTCTAGTATATGGGTATACTCCTTTTACTATTTTCTACTTCTCTATGCAGTTGGAAGTTTTGTAATATGAAGTTTATAAAGGGAAATTTTTGAACTGTTTTTTCAAAAAGTGTGCCTTTTAACTCAGAGCTGCCAAAAGAAGATAAAATATATCTGTCAAATAAAACTAAAACATATGTGTCAAATAAAACTAAAACTAACAAGATTGATGTCCTTTACTCAAGGGAAAACAAATCATAGAGCACTCTTCTGAGGGATTTTGGACAAGAGCATATTTTATTACTAGAGATTTCCTTATAAGGCAAAGTAAAAGTTTCCTTATAAAGGTAAAGTCAGCTAGCTAAAGCTGAATTGTGATTGGCATATATTAGGTGTCTTTGACAATGAGAAGGGTACCATTAGATCAGGCTGACTTAGATTTGTGACTTGGGCCCCCATTTTGTGGGTACCAATATACAATTAACTTTACCACATGTAAACAGCTTTTGTGAATAAAACTGTAAAATGTAACAAATAACAGGAAATGGAGCCTATCATTAACATAAAAGAGTAATATCTGTGATCCTCAGAGTTTCTTTAGGGAAAAAAAGTAAGTTGTTGAATCCTCCATAAGTAATACCTGAAAGTACACACCACTCAATAAAAAAACGATTATCATGCAAATTATGCCTCTCCTAAGGACAAGCTTACATTTGCACACTTCTGAAATTAGGAACTAAATTAGGAACCTCCACACATTTTGACTCTTTGTGTATATGTGTTTATACATACAAAAAGTACATACATTTATATATAAACACACTTTTCTTGGTTGTTATTTTGTAACATAGATTATTTTATATGGCAGTGATAAAAAGAGAGTTTTGATTAGCAACTAAAAAGAAAGATTAATGTTTCCAGTAACTTATTGCAGCTTATGTGAATCAAGGTATAAAACTTGATTCTGTTGACAATTAAGAAACTTCAATAAATACCAGTTTTCTAGATGAAAGGAATATAATTAAAGTTCCAATCAGAATTCTAAAAACGTTTTCTATGTGTGTTTTTTCTCTTTGATATTTATATATTTTGTTTGTTAAACATTAAGGAACAATTCCAACTTTTATGCTAATAAAAACTTTTAGTAATGATCAAAAGAAAACTGAAAATGCATAGTAATGTATCTATATTAACACATACGCTATTGCTAAAATATTTAAAAACTGATCCTGGTGCAAGAAAAGTTCAAGAAGAAAAGAGAGTGAGAAGGTAGTATGTATTAGAGCTGGGGTTTAAAGCAGTGGAAGGAGAACATTCAATAATTTTGTTAGAACAATGAGGTAGGTGCTGGAACATAGCAAGGCCATATCCATGGAATTCATATTATAATAAATAACTTTCATAGTGATTCAAGTATAAGCAATTAAAAGACAATTTCTAGAGTTTTAAAAAAATTTCTAAAGTTCTTTTTTTCTTTTTAAAGAGTTTATTTATTTATTTATATGACAGAGAGAGACAAAGTGAGAGAAGGAACACAAGCAGGGGAAGTGGGAGAGGGAGAAGCAGACTCCCCGCTGAGCAGGATGCGGGACTCGATCCCAGGACCCAGGGATCATGACCTGAGCTGAAGGCAGACGCTTAACAACTGAGCCACCCAGGCACCCCAAAAGTTCCTAAGTTCTTAAAGAATACAAATGTTTTAAAAATATAAGGCCTCTCAGCTCCTTTCTAGGAAACCCTACCTCTTCACTCCTATCCCATGCCTGAGACCCTGCTCCACACCTGAGAAAAACTGGTCTGGGTGTGCTGAGATGGGCCACAGACCCATCCTCCCCTACCCCGCCCTGAATCCAGGGCTGTCAAAGTAGATGCAGCACCATGACAGTTACTAATTAATATTTGCAGAGGGATACTTTGAAGCTATAAAACATACTGTTTCTCCTTAAAGTATCATTCACCAGTTTAGCATTCATTTGTGGATCTTGTCTGATTCAGTTATTACTCTGGTGTTCTAATGGTTATTTTTAATTTCCCTCGTTAGTCTGAGAAAGCATAAAGCAGCCTGTGATGTCTGGGAGCTGGCCTGACACTTAGAGAGCCTGGCTGTGAGTAAAACTATCGTGGTGCTCATAGCTAAACAGTGGTGTTTTCTTGCTGGACCTAAACAATCTCACTGAACACAAGGAGATGAGGTCATTTTGTGACCATTATGATGTAACACAAACAAGATCACTGTTTTGCAAGAGTAAAGACAAAAACAAGGTTGCTCTGCCACTCTCAAAATACCAAGCATCCCCCTCTCAGCTGTTACAAGTGACTGTTGCTTTTTTTTTTTTTTTAAGATTTTATTTATTTACTTGAGAGAGAGAATGAGAGAAAGAGAGCACATGAGGGGGTAGGGTCAGAGGGAGAAACAGACTCCCCACTG